ATATGGGTGAAGTGTTTGAAGACTCTGGCAGATACTGACGACTTGTAGGTAAACTGAACTACCTAACCATTACTAGGCCAGACATCTCATTTGCGGTTAGTGTGGTGAGTCAGTTCATTCAGAAACCTCTGATTCCTCATTGGAATGCAGTTCTGAGAATTGTGAGGTATTTAAAAGGGGCTCCAGGTTGCGGTTTGATATACAAAAGTGGCGGAAAACTTGAAATAGAAGGGTATTCTGATGATGACTGGGCTGGTTCTATGTCTAATAGGCGGTTTACCACAGGCTATTGCACTTTCCTGGGAGGTAACCTAGTGACATGGAAAAGTAAGAAGCAGACAGTCGTGTGGCTAAGGAACCTGGTGACATGGAAGAAGTAGTGCAGAAGCAGAATATAGGGCTATGGCGCATACTGCTTGTGAATTAGTGTGGTTAAGGAACCTTCTACAGGAAGTAGGGTACAACATCAATACTCCAATGAAGCTCTATTGTGACAATTAGGCTGCAGTTCATATTTCTTCTAATCCGGTGTTTCATGAAAGAACCAAGCATATCGAGGTTGACTGTCACTTTGTGAGGGAGAAGGTGCTGAATGGAGAGCTAGACACTGCATATTTTAATACAGGAAACCAGTGGGCAGACTTATTTACAAAAGGCTTGAGTCGAGGAAGAGTGGACTACATATGTAACAAGCTGGGAGTATATGATATATACTCACTAGCTTGAGGGGGAGTGTTAGCGTAGGGGTATTTCTGTCTTTATACTTAGATTAAGGTTGCTGATCTGTAATATTGTGTTAGAACCAGTGTCCCTTACTTAAATAAGGGCACATATGCCTTTTCCATTAATTTTAATAATAAAAGCACATGTCTGGCCGAATGGGAGTTATGTTCTTTGACTTCCAGTTCGAACCAGATTTTCTTCTTTTCTCTCTCTCTCTCTCTCTCTCTCTCTTTCTTCCACCTTTCTACCTCTCTCTACGTGACTGATCTCAGACAAACAGAACTCCAAGGCAGGCCGAATCATAACAATTACCTGATAAGAAGATACATCCTTGCAATAACTAGGGTTCTTCATCCACCAAATCAGAAAGTCATTCTCTCATTCTATATATACATGTGGTAGTGGTTGATTGCTTTTTTGTGTTCTCATTTTCTGATTATTGAATCAGGCTTAGTTGGGTTGACTATTATTTGATTAGAAATCTGACATGATCCAGAGACTGTTCAAACATAAAATTAGATCTTGTTCCGATAAGATCTAATTAGACATGAGAGATCAAACTTCATACTTCCATGCCACCTAAAAAAAGGCTTTTTCAACCCCTAATTTTGGAAGAGTTTGCTTCATAATCAAGTTCTTGTTTTTAATAAACCATTGTGCATGATCTATACCTGTTTATTTTCTGGTTTGTAAACTAAAATATGAAGTAGTGATCTAATTAGAACTTCTGTCATGTTTATCTTAATCTATTATGAGTTCCATCATTTTTTGATGAGTAAAACTTTATTAATTTAGAACTTTAAACTCATACAACAGCCCTTGAAGAGGCGTGAGCTGCACCCTTTCCCAACAGATTACAAAGAGAGTAGAAAAAAGGAACAAACATTACAGCTGAGTCAAAACATAACTTCCCTATTTGCCCCTTGCTTGGCTAAGCCATCAACCAATGCATTTGCTGATCTCCCCACCCATTCTATTGTTACAGACATATTCCTTGTCAGCCACTTAAATTTCTTGATTTCATTCTTATAGCCCCATACAACACCTTAGGGTTCTTCAACCACCCCACTACCACCTTGGATTCCCCTTCAATAAATAGTTGCTCATGCTCTACATCCAATTGATTTGCTCTACACTCCTTGTATGTAGTTCTGGCCTAACAAATCTCCAAATTCCAAAGGACCAGCGTAAAGAAATACCTCTCCAAACTCATTTCTCAGAATCCCCCATTCCAGAGAGCTGTGGATTGCCCTGATTGCTCCTATCAAAATTCATCTTTAATGAATCTTTAGAAGGGGGAACCCATCTTATAACTACCCTGCACCTTGCTACTGCTAACTAATTTCTCCATAGATCCTTAAAGGAGAATTGATGGAAGAGTTCCATGGTCTTAAACCAATATATTGCCCTATTCAACACACATTCCTTCAAATCTTGGCTGCTCCTCTCCTCCTGGAGGATTCTAGCATTCCTTTCTTCCTAGATATCGTCCAAATCAAGGCTGCTCTGGCACATCTCCATATAATTATTTCTCTTTTTTTAGGCCAAGTGAAGGTAGAATGGTTAAAGATCAAGATCATGCATACTTCTGCTGGCATATTCCACCTGCACTCAAACATCGAAAAAAGCAATTCCATAATTCTGCAAATTCCACCTTGCCCTGGCTGCTCCCTGGCAGTTCCATAATTCAAAATTGTGTGTGCCAATGGAACTCAGGCTGATCAAGTATGCATGGTTGGTTCACTTTGATATGATCCTATAATGCTTGAATTCTTGTTGAAATGCAGGAATTAGTTCCATTTGACCTTGACCATTGAATGATTGGGGAGAATATTAGAAATTAGGTAATACATTAAGTGCTTTGGGGCCACATACATGAAGCTATGCCCCAAAATGTTGAGAACAATGTGGGAGTCGGGTGGCTTTGATTGTATCCTGTATTCCTGTATAATAATGGTAACTATTGCATAGGATTTTTTTTTATATCAATAATCACAACCAAATAGGGATTGCCTTGATGGCAAAAAAGAGAGGGAAGCCTGCTGTTTGGTCTAACCAGAAGGGACCAAGTACAATAGTACAACAACATAAAGCTGGTGTAAAAGAAAATTAAACAATACATATTGATAATTTGACCTTATGCATGGTTGCAAAAGGAAGAAGCTGGACTGTGGAATTATAGCAGTGAAAGGAAGAAATTCAAATGGTTGATATGAGACATGGAAGTGAGGGTTAGTTGGGTGAAAAGGATAGCTAATGGTTTTGCTGATGCTTTGGCAAAACAAGGGGTGGGAAGTAATCAATTGTTTTGGGCTCAATTGTAATAGTTTTTTTTTTTTTTAAATCTTTGGGGAGAGTTAAAGAGTTTTTAGCTCTCCCCCTTGTAATTCATTTTTTTCTGTCTTCATGAAATCTGAAGTTATTGATAAAAAATAAAGATAATTTGACCTTCTTGATGTATCCCTGGACCTGGTGGTCCTTATAGGAGCTCCAATATGTGAACTCCCTCATTGACCGAATGATGGGAATCAACTTAAGGCTTATCAAAAGAGAACCAAAGCTGCTCCCATGCTTATTTGGCATCATTATGATGATGTGGGGCCCACATGGGAGATGCGTGAGCAGTAGATCCCAGAGTTTTCAATCCATCTATACTCTGTGTGGTTGAATTTGCTGCTGGATAGGGCTTATTTGTCTTTCTTACATTTCTGGACAGCAAGGGTATTTTTGTAATTTTGAATGGGGGGTTGTTTTGTTTGGGAACAGATCTAAGTCTAGTAATTTCCCTTTGTTTGTAATTGTTTGGGGGGCAGGTTTAGTCAAATCTAGCTTCTTTTTGTAAGTGGTTTGGTGGGCATCCTAACTTGGGGGGCAAGTTTTTTCCTTTGGAATCTTCTTTCTTATTAAGCTTGTATGGCTCATTTGGAGACAGGTTTGGCTAATAAACAAGGAAAGTTCTCTACAAAATTTGGTTTGATTTCTAAATTGGGGGTGTGATTGCCTAGGGTTTTTATCTTATTTCCATCTCTTCTCTTCTTTCTTTGTTAGTTCTTTGTTTTGTGCTACACATCTAGACCTAAGTTGGTTGCAGGAAATAGTGCTGAATCATAAAGATCCTGCATCACCAGAGAATCTGCCAAGACATTAGCCAATCAGGGGGACCAAATAAAGAAGCTGTTCAAAGTGAGAGTTAATGCATTTAACTTCTATAATTAAGAATCTGAGAGACCAGGGGCCTTCTGCAGCTGCCAACATCCAACCAATGAGCACTCAGCATTCACTCTCCAGAAACAAATGAGACCATCCTGAAGAAAAGTCTGCATTGTTCTATATTAAATGTAGCAAAGTGTACAATTTAGCCCACAAGGATTTGCCTTTTCCCACTGTGTTTGAAAAGCTCATGATAATAATTTCTTCATGGTCTCTGAGAACATCACCAATACCTGAAGGTCCACTGTTGCTCAAAGCACATCCATCAAAATTAAACTTGGATTACCCTATTCCAGCAATTTTTATTAGAGTACGAGTATCTGATGCTGGATCCAGTGTTCCTTCCCATGACTTTTTCTTATCACTTCTGCTTCCAACTCCGATCACTATGAATGGGGCAATATCAAACTGGCAAAATCTAATTAGTTTCTACTTTCTAGTTTGACCCTTGCATTAGATTTGGCTGCATTGAGGTTGTTTCAGATGGCTAAATTATATTATCTTGTTTACCATCTACTCTGGACAAATTTCACATATTAAAACCCGGTTTGCTACATATATCCAGCCATTTGTGTGTTGACTTTTTGATAATACACTGATAATTATTGTGCATTGAATATGCTTTGAAAGCCCGCATGCCATAGACCATCCATCGGATTAAGGCGATATTTGATCAAGTTCTGAGAAAACTACCAAATATGGCTCCTTTACTCTTATATATTCTCTGTTGGATTGTGAACACCTAAATCTCCTTTGAATATTTTTATCTATTTATTTTATTTATTATTTACACTTGCTACCTTAACAGGTTTATCAGGAGAAAGGATTGCAGGATAAAGAGAGATATAGGAGCGAAATGTTGGAGTACAGAAAATTATCAAATGCTTGAAAACTTCAATATATCTGAGGTCCTTTTCCTGAGGTTTCTGTCATCTTCCCGCGCAGATTGTACAAATGGCATGAACCTATTGATCAAGGTGTTGGAATGAGAGGAAACAGGAGGCAACCTCCTGCAATTTTTTTCTTTTTTTTTCCTGGAGGCTGGAAGGGATTACACCACTGTCACACAACATTCAGGGAAAAATATTTGCAGGAGATTGTTAAATGAATGTTTTCATTTAAAAGAACCACGTCTTTCTTAACCATGAAAGTTTTCATTGGTTAAATATTGAAAAGATCTATTTTTAAGTTGTTTTTCTACGGCAGGGGTATGAATGCAGTCAATCTGTACGAAAAATACAATCTCCTTCAAAACCAAAAAACCCATTTTTTAACATGTATCAAACATAAAACACACACACACACAATCTCCAAATCTAAGTCATACTGCTGGTGCCTCTTTTGTTTCGTCTTTTAATGAGAAATATCTTTTATCCTCGATTCCTCTTTTTCCCAACGATGATGTATGTAACAATATCTAGATTTCCAATTTTATGGCCCGATCATCAATATTTAGTGCTTTCCTAGGTCTACTGGTACGTGTCTCAGTGGGACCTCACTCTGGACAGTTCTTACTTTGATTGTTGACATCAGGGTTTATGTTTTGGCTGTTCTCATTCTGTTCTAGGTGGTCTTTCATGATGGTTTTCACTCTGTTCTGGGTGATTCTTTCTGGGAAGTAGATTCCACACCAGTTGTTGCGTATCTGACCAAAGAGAAACCGGATTCAGTTGGTGCAATCTCCGTTCGAACAGCCTTTATGGCCTTGTGATAGGTCCCAGTCAGAAGCGCAAGTAGTAAATTGCTCTCTTAGGGTGAGAACAGACCTCAAGGTTTTGGGGTAAATTTTCTCTGCCTTCTTTCATTCATTCAAGGGAAATACATACAAGGAATAACTGACAACTTCTTCCTAAAAATCAGACCACTACTACGAGTATTTACATCCTACAATACCACTAAGTACATAACCAAAATAACTTGTTGGAAAATAGGAATCCATAAATCTAGTGGAAGCAGAGATAACTGACAACTAAGGACTGGTTGTTGCTGCCATGACTTAGTCCATGAATTGTGGATTTGGCCGAGGAATATGCTGGCTTCTTCGTGGCTTATCATTACCCCCCCTTCCAAGTGGAACCTTGTCCTCAAGGTACAGGTCAGAAAATCTCGGGGTTGCAAGGAAGGTCGGTGTCGGTTACATTGATGTCTTCTTTAGTTTCTTCCTTGAAACCACCTTCCAACAAAAGAAGTTGAGGGCCCTTGCATCTATGACCTGCAGAAAATTTTTCATCGCAATTGAAGCATAGTCCTTGTGCACGTCTCCTTTGCATTTCATCCCATGAAAGTTTCTTAACAGGTGCAACCTTTGTAGTTGACAGCGATGACAACGAAGTGTGAGCTGATAACGATTGTCGTGAGAATCGTCGCTGTCGCTGCAATTGATCTTCCTTCATGCGCGCCAAGCTTATCGCTCCTTTCAACGTCTTTGGTCTAAACATGCGTATCCCTTCAGCAATTTCAGGCAACAACCCACCCATGAACGATTCCACAAGTGCTTTTTGTGACCATCCATGCACCCGGTTGCCCAATCTTTCTAACTCTTTTTGGTAGTCGCGCAGGGACCCAACCTGTCGAACCTTAGATAGGGCTTCATCAAAATCCTCACACTCCGTTGGTCCGAAACGAGCCCATAATTCCTCCTCAAATAGTTCCTAGGTCACCACTCGTCCTTCCTCTTGATATGCATGACGTAGCCATTGCCACCATTGATTGGCCTCCCATTCCAGATGGAATGAGGCTAAAGACACCTTTTGATTGTCTGGCGTGCCCTGAAACTCAAAAAATTGAGCTACTCGATTAAACCATTCTATTGGATCATCACCTGAATATTTTGGGAACTCAAGCCTTGCCGTTTTGGAGGAGAAAATTGGCTTCCCCCCTTCATTCTCACGACCTTCCTCTTTAGTGAGTTGTAAACGCTCATTAGAAGTGCTCATCTCAAGAGTATTGTTGGAGGCGATGCTTCGGTTAGAAAGGATGGCATCGAACAACTTACTGATGGTATCTTCTAACCGCTTGATCTTATCTGCCATTCCAATCTCCAATCTTTCTAGACCGTCTTGAACTCCACCTAGCCCCTTTTCCAAGCTCTCAGTTCGTTCTTTGTTAGACATCTTAACCTGGTGCTCTGATACCAATGATAGGTCCCAGTCAGAAGCGCAAGAAGTAAATTGCTCTTTTAGGGTGAGAACAGACCTCAAGGTTTTGGGATAAATTTTCTCTGCCTTCTTTCATTCATCAAAGGGAAATATATACAAGGGATAACTGACAGCTTCTTCCTAAAAATCAGACCACTACTACGAGTATTTACATCCTACAATACCACTAAGTACATAACCAAAATAACTTGCTGGAAAATAGGAATCCATAAATCTAGTGGAAGCAGAGATAACTGACAACTAAGGACTGGTTGTTGCTGCCATGAGTTAGTCCATGAATCGTGGATTTGGCTGAGGAATATGCTGGCTTCTTCGTGGCTTATCACCTTGCATTGAGAATGTCCCCATGAAATAAAGCATAGAAGTATGGAGATGTTCCCAATGCAAGGCTGTAAAGGTTGTTCGAAGTGTTTGAATGGAACTTGCACTGACTGAAGCTGATCTCGACCAAAGCACCAAAAAACCAACCCAAGACTATTGAAGTAGGTTAAGCCCAAGTATTCTAAGGTCTGGTTCATTTTCCTGTAAATGTCAGTGGATAAGGTGGTGGGTTACGTGGAGTGTTTCTTTGCAGTTGTAATCAAGGGTCAAAATATCGATATGCCGATAGGGGTGTATCGGGCAAATTGATACACATTTTGGAGTCATTTTTTTATTTTTTTTGCAACTGGTTCAGGGGCGGTTTAGATCTTTTTTACCGCTTGAACCGGTCAGACCTCTGATACACCCATTGCAGGGGAGCATCAGAGGGGGTCTTGGAATGATATGTATTGGCCGATATGGGCAGATACGTGTCGATACTTTGAACCTTGGTTGTAATGGGATTGGCCCATGGAAAAATAATTTTTTTGGAGTATTGGTCACTCGGGTAATTAATATTATTGTCCTGGAGGGTTGGTAATTTTCCTTACTCATCCGTTGAATGAGATGACACTCCTGAGTCTTGCCTTGTGGTTTACCCAAGTCATTGTCCAAACAAACATTAGCTTTTAGGCTATTTGTGGGCAATGTTTCCTTGCGAATCACTTGTTCAAGGAAATGCATCACCCGAATACCAAAAAACAATTGAGGCCTAAGTTCGTAATAGTGCAATTCTTGGAGAGAGAGACTCAAGTAGAGTCTAGTTTGATACTTTGATCATGCGTGAAGTGTCTCTTCCATTTCATGAGAGAACTTTGCACAGCACTTGCATAGATCTGTTGTGGATGGAAGTGAATGGTAAGTTGTAACAGATCTGTGGATGATGGATTTCCAAAAAGGTCCCAGTCATGGGATGGGAAATGGTGTTAGTAGGATGTTGGAATGTATTTTGTTGGCAGGAGGTTCACACTCTTGATAAATGTAGCTTCCAATCCATCAATAATTCAGTTATTAAAACTGTCATAAATGGGTGAGAATCGTGAGATGAGTCCGAATATGCTCCTCACAACATGTCTTGGTCACACATCAGGAACATCTCCTGTAGTTGTACTTATTATTCATGGGGATATGTTTCCAATACACGGTGGAATGTGGCTGTGAGGTCGGTGTGAGAAGCGCTTTGTGAGAAGCAGATCCCAATTCATGTAATTGAGCACATTTGAGTGCTTTTCCTTTCTAAATGGGCTTAGAAAAAATATTTTTGAATAATTGTTTATTTTGATATGCACATTTGAGTAAATAAGGGTGCGCCCTAGCCTGTTCGTTTGCTCTGAAGCCTGACATCTAAAAGTGCAATAATTACTTTAAGAGGTATATTGGTATTAGTGAACTTTTCTTTCCTCTAAACTTTGAATGCAAAGATTCTAGAGAATATTGTTCTGAATTTTGAATTCTAAAAATTATCAAATATCCATTTTGACCCCATATATGAGAGTTTTTGTTTGTCTTTTTGGAGATATCATTGAAAAATAAAAAGTTAAAAATGTTCTAAACAGGCTTTAAGAGATAAGAGATAAGAGGAAACGAATAATCAATTTTCTCTTAAAGTTAAAAGATTCTTCTTAAGAGATAAGAGTTAAGAGGAAACCAATAGGTCCTAAAAATGTTCTAAATAGGCTTCTCCAAGACTTAATAAGCCAAAAGCCCAAATTTTTTTACTTTTTAAACAGGCCTTTTGGGGTAAAAAATGTTTTTTGAGCTTTTTTACCAAACACCAACCAACTCGGATTTTTTGTGTGCTCTTGACTTCTAATAAGCTATATGCCCAATAAGTGCTTTATATAAGCATTTCCAAACACAACCTTACGCCTAAAAAATGTCCTTTTAGTTTTTACCATATTTCTTTCGGAATATTGTAATGATGGACTCACCCGACCCGTTTACACCCGATTCGATTCGATCCGTTTACACCCGATCCCTGTATAAACCAACTGTTGTTTATACATCGTGCAATCCCATAACTCTGCCGTTAGATCGAACTTTGACTTTGACTTCACTTTCATCGTATCTTGATGAGAGCGAATCACATTCACACCTTTAATCCTAGTTCAACTCTGGGTCCCACTCAATTGCCATCAGGTGGTTGCCAGCTGGCATCCCCCACCTCGACAATCGCGAAATTAACTCGTTTACCAATCCCTATCCTCTCGCGCTGTCTCTCTGAGTCCCTACCGCTCCTTTGTAGTTTGCCGACTACAGAGATCATTCACATCCGCCATTAGAGATCAGATTCGCAGTCGAATTCTTCGCCTCCTTGCCGAAAGTAAAACCCCCCAAAGATACTAAAATAACCTTTCTTATCTTCTCTCGTTTTCACCTTTTTAGATTCATTCTTCCTTTATCTTCTTAAACGAATTCTTCTTTTGCTTTCGATTTGCACAAACTTTGTGCGTTCGTAACCCAAAAGGGTAATCTCTTGTCTGATATACATATATATATATATATGTTTTTTAATTTTTCTTATTTTTACTATTTTTTCGAATAAAATCGCTATCATCGTCCTCCTCTTAGTGAGCTTTCTCTTCTTTCGGATTTATTCTTGCTTCAGTTGCTTTTGGTTTATTGGTTAGTGTTTGATTTCTTTGTGGTTCTTTAATTTTATGTTTTCTTTTCTTCTGGGTATCATTAATTCCAGTTGGATATTTCTTGGTTTTGTTAGTTCAAGTTTAGTTTGCGGTTTCTATAATTTCAGGTTGAATTTTCTGGGTTTCTTTTATTTTGATGGTGTGTTGATCTATAGTCTGTTCTTGTTCCAGATTTACTTACAATTTGATTGAGATCCCCTGTTAGATTCTCTAATTTCTCTTTCAATGTTTTCTGGAACTAAATTGGGTTTTCATTATATATGAAATTTGTCATTTATTACATATCTTGATGGATGTGCATATTAGTTCTTTATCTTTCTTATTAGAAGCATAGATTAAAGTTATTTTAACTCTTTAGTTTCCTTCATGCTTTTGGTTTTCTGCACTAAGACAGTTTTATTGCATTTATTTCTTATGCTAACGTTATTTAATTTATGACTTTTAAGTTAGGAAGCCTCATGGCCAGCAAAAGGATTCAGAAGGAGCTCCAGGATTTGCAGAGGGATCCTCCTACATCCTGCAGTGCTGGGCCTGTTGGGGAGGACCTCTTCCACTGGCAAGCTACGATCATGGGTCCATCCGATAGTCCCTATGCTGGCGGAGTTTTCTTTGTCATGATCCATTTTCCACCGGATTATCCGTTCAAGCCTCCCAAAGTCAACTTCCAAACAAAGGTAACGGAGAATTCTTTCGTTGGCATAGAAATTTGATTTATTTAATCCTTGTTGTGCTGGAAGTTAAGTTACGGTAATCTTGGTTTCTTAGTGCTGTCTTTGTTGGCCACGTTGCAAATTGTCTAAACCATTCTTATTTTCTGAATGAATTGTTGTAAACTGTCTTCTATTTATTCAAATTTTTGTAGTAAGATGATCATGCCTTTTTTTTCTTGGTGTTAATGGTTATTCTGAAACATAGATGGTGGAGATAATTAATTCTTGAAAGATTATCTTGGAACTTTGGGTAAAACTGGGTATTTGACCTTTCCTTTCTTATCAAGGCACATGATGGATGATGGTCATGGCTCATGGCTTTAAACTATAAATACGCTTTTATCGGCCATCAGGGTTATCTTATGAATAGGCCTAAAATATCTTCACCTATATAGTGATGGTGAATGGTGTATGAAGATATATGCATGGGGCTATAGCTGCCTGGCAGTCATAGTTATTATAATTGTACAAAGTTCATATGCAAGCTTATAACCTTTGTTAAGTTTTTATTTTTTGAGACTGGATTCAGTAGGCACACCATTGTGAGCACATTCAGTAAGCACTCAATAAATATTCTGACAGCGGTCTTAGAATTTTGTTTAAATCATTTCTAGGGTAGGCTGAGGGTATTTTATGGGACCGGTGTCACAAAATTTTCTGAGTGCTTACTCAGTGTGCTCATCTTGTGTGCCTACCTGATCCGAGCTCATTTTTTTGGGCATTCTAGTGGATTTATCTTGTTTATGTTTTAATTTTAACAGCCATGTTAAAAAATAATCCACTTTCCAAAAGTTTTCTAGAAGTTTTCTAGAAGTTCAAACTTCTAGAATTAATTAGCACTCTAGAAATTAAATCTCCAAGTCTCTTGGAAAAGTAATACACTTTCTAGAGGTTCTAACTTCTAGAATGTATTTGGGTCTAGAAGATGATGATTTCTAGAAAAGGTAAAATTCTAGAGAGAGATGTCTAGAATGTTGGTTGGCTTTGCTCCACCTACTTGGCTCTACTATCAATAGGGCTAAACTTGTACATTTGAGAACAAGCCAATACAAGTTCCAATTTTCCCAACAACTTGAGCCTTTATCATTTGCTACCATCCTATCTTACCTAGTCTACTCTCTCTCACATCCCAAGTCCTAACAACTCTACTCTCCATATCCCGACAAGCCAGTTATCAAATTAAAAGAGATGAATGTGAGAAATAAAGATTTTTGGTAATTGAATAACTTATAGAACATCGGGATTCTAAGGTTTTTCTCAGATGAAGCAGGGGGGAAGTGTGCCATGATGTCGTCATGTGGGAACATAATAACATAAGGAAGTCATACTGATATAAAGTGCTTTAATGGAGAAATTTTAAGATGGAATTTAACATTGATCTATATATAAAACCTGATATTGATGGATTTGTCTGAAAAGGTGAATTTAATTTAACCAAGAAAAACAGTTGATCCAATTTTCTGAAACTATCATCCAGCAAGGGGATGCGACTAGGGCAGGTCTAAACTGATTTACCATAGATCCGTGTAGACACAATACCTGAATGTTTGCCTTTGAGCCCTAAACATGTGTAGGCCTATGTGATCTGTAGCCCAAAGTTGATTGCTGTTCCAACAAGCCCATTATTGAAGTGACCAGAAGGGGAATATTGTGGAATGTCCTAAATTGATATTCTGTAGTTTTTTTTTCCTTTTAGTGAGATAGTTTCTTAGCAAATAAGGATTTTCTTTCTCAGCAAGGAAAAAAACTATGCCTAATAGATAGAAGTTTTGAGATTTGAGTTCTGCAATCTGTTTGCCTTGGAGAATGTTGTATGGTGTGATTCTGTTTTTTCTCATCTCCTGAGGCTTTATATAGAGGATGAAATTTATAATGAGATTCTATGAGTTATTGTTCTCTTCTACTTTTATTGATCTCATTTCTTCTTTAAGCTTTGCTTTTTATTTCTCTCCATTTTTGTAAAAAATAAAGTTACTAAAACAATCAAACAGACCTTAAGATGGATTGAATGACTGCATAACAAGATTATATACTGGGCTGTTGTTTTTTGATCAGTAACCATGTATTAGTATTAAATGAGAAGAAGAAAACTTCTCTTTTATCTTGAAAGAGATATAGAGAAGACAGTACAAACAACAAAAGCTGCCAGAAACCACTATTGTTGTACAAAAAGAACTAAGGTTTCATTTGGTTTGTGGGAATAGGGGTCTGGAATCGGAATTGGAATGGTCCATTCTGATTCCAACCGTTTGATTGGGTGGAATTGGAATCTGATCCCCATTCCTGGTGAAAGGTATTCCCCCAACCCTTGAAAACTTATTCTAAGGACGATGGGAAGAAAGGACGATGGGTTTGTGGCTGCAGGACGATGGAGGAGAGTGCTGAAGGTTGAAGCCAAGGAGTTTCTGCTTGAAGAGCTGAAAAACAAAGGAGGGGCAAGCTTGAAGATTAGGAAAGGGAAGAAGGCCACAGTGATGTTGCAAGGTATGGAAGTGATTAAATGGTTCAAGGAGTATGTGAATGAAACATGCCTCAAAGGTAAACAAAGAAACTGGAAGGAATTGAGAACTCAAGAAGGGAAGAGGTATGTTGTAAAATGCAGAAGAAACAATAAAGGGGGTTATTTAGCTCTTTCTGAATATTTCGGGAAAGGAAGGAGGCAACTAGTCTGCTTTCCTAAAGGTAGACAGGGACTTGGATGGAAGAAAATCAATGGAATACTGGAAGAGTTTATCCAACACTTGAAAACCTTGCGTCTGGACCTACTGAAGGAGAATGGTAAAACCAACAAACTTTCAACTGAAGATGAAGACCAGATCCAAGAGCTACTAGCCTTTGGACAGAACAGGCTGGTTGGCTATTCCAGGAGAGAAGAATGGGAAGATAAATATGTGGTTCAAGTTAAAAATCAGGTTAGCAACTGGAGGAGAGTTGCAAACCTGCTCATATTACAGCTGAAGTTAAAAGGGATGTTTATTCTAACACCTTTTGATAACAGTAAAGCGGTGCTTGATCTGATTGAAGATAAGTTAGAGCTCTCAGCTATCAGTTTTCAATCTGAATATGGTGCGATTACAATCTCTAAGTGGAACCCTTCATCTAACTCTAAAGAGTTCTTCACTGAGGACGGGGTGGTGGTACGAGTTCTTGGTCTGCCCTTTCATTTGTGGAAACAGGAAGTGGCCGCATCCATTGCACTGTTATGTGGTGGTAATCTTGCCAGAGCCTTTTGGGGGGACCGGGGACCTTCGATCAGCAGCTCTTCTATTGAACAGAGTGAAACCAGAAGACATACCCAGAAAAGTGGAGATAAATGTGGAAGGTTGCTTCTACTCARTTTGGATGGCCTCCTCCATAGAAGCTACACTGTGGAGGGAGGCTCGCAAGGAAGGGGATGAGAAGGTAGAAGAAGAGGCCCTACGTGGAACAAGAAGATTGGTAATATCAAAGGTTGATCAGTCTTTCACCGATTTGGGTAAGCAAAAACTGGAAACTTTAAAAGAGAAGGGGTAGATGGGTGGTCAACTACATGGAGTGCAAACTATCAGAAGGGAGGGTAGTAAATCTTATGCTTAGATGGTTAAAGGCGGCAAGAAGGAGGTTTTAAATTCAAGTTATGAAGGAAGATTAAAGGTTTCAGACCAGGTCGAACCACAAAAGGGTGAACTTGAGCCGGGTGTCCCAAGCACTAAGTGTGAAGTGGTAAAGCCTCACGTGCTAATGCAAGTAAGCACGCGTGGGCCTCTAAAAATTGTTGGGCTTGTTAAAGAAACCAAGGGTGGGCCGTGTCCTCAACTTAAGTTGGCCCAAATCAAGTCTCCCTTAAAGAGGGCACGTGACTCACTTAAGTTACACGTGTTTGGGAAGGGGGAGGCTTCAATAGATGGTAAAAACCATCTATTTTCTTCTCCTTCGAGCTTCTCCTCTCATATCCGCGTGCCAGTTGCAGGTTTGGCCACTTCGTCGTTGCAATGGATTCCGACCAAGAAGGTAAACTAGTTATCCCTAGATAGGCGGAACCCCAGAAGCATAAAACGGAGGGATCTAGACTTTGTTGAAGACAGTGATTACTTAGATGAAGAAGATAGTGGTGCTGAAGACACGACTGAAACAGAGAGTTTGGGAAGTCTTGATCTGCAAGGAAACTTAGACATGCTCCATGAAGGAAGTTTTAACACAAAGATTCTTTTTCTAGAAGGAAGCTCTCAAGGGGAAGATGCGAAGATGAGGAGGATTGGAAATTCAGCTTCGGAAGCCAGGCTTATCAACCCCCCTTTCCATGAGGGAGCAACTCCAACCTCTCAGGCCATAAACGGAATTAGTACAAAGTCACAGGACTCTCCGATTATCTATGAAGATAGGCGAGGAAGGAAGGAGAAGGAACAAGCTTCTCTGATGGTAAGATTGGACAAAGGTGAAATATTAACCTTAACCACTTCACTGCAATTGCCAACTAAAGGGATGGATGCGGCACTACCAGTAATGTCTTAGCCACAAGCCTTGTTTGCTCCTATTTCTCCTACTCAGCAATCAGGTATGGGTGTCCATTCGGTTTTCTACTGATCTGTGTGTTCGGCCTATTGCAGATACTCTAATATCTTACCCGGATGGAGCAGATTTGGTATCTAAAGGAAGTGGTGAAGGTGCTGGTGGAAATCATGAACTTAAGAAGAGTCAGTTCCTTGTGAGGGTGTGGGGGAGGAGGTGGAGAGAATTTGGAAGCTGAGGCAATTAGAATGAAGGAAGGTTACTTGGAAGAGAATCATTAGAAAAAGGGTTTGCCTAGTGAGGAAGGAGCGAGTGGTGAAATAGATGATGTTGAGAGGACAGAATTGAACCCTAAAACAGGAAGAAGTAATCAACAGTTATTAATATTTTATATTTTAAATTTAATTTTTAATATGAAAATGTGAGAAAATTTTCATATTTCTTAATATAAAATATTTTATAATTTAAATTTAATTCTTTTAATAACACAACCAACGTTTTAAAAAACTATTTGAAAACATAACTGTTCTGGTCACTAATAAGAAGCTCCAATCCACCAGATCATAGGCCTTTTCTAAATCCAGCTTACAAACAAACCCTTGCTTTCCGGACTTTCTCATATCCTCCATACATTCATTTGCATTAGAATTTGATCTGTTATTTGTCTCCCTTGCATGAAAGCTCCCTTGTGCTTGACTAATGATGGAGGGTAGCACTACTTTAATCCTCAAGGATAACACTTTAGCCAGGACTTTGTAAATGCTAGTCACCAAACTAATCGGCCTAAAATCTTTAAGGTTTTTTGCTTCTTTTTTCTCAGGGATTAGAGCTATGAAAGTGGCATTAACTCTAGGGCTTACTTTGCTATTAACTTCAAATTCCTTAAACACAGCACAAAGGTCTTCTCTTACCACATTCCAACAATCTTGATAGAAAGCCATGGCGAAGCCATCTGGTCTAGGGGCTTTGGATCTATCCATTGAAAACACTGCAAGCCTAATTTCCTCTTCTTCAAAACTCCTCTCTAACCATCTTGCTTGCTCTTCAGACAGCTTGGGCCAGTCTAGACCTCCCAACCTTAGTCTATTATTCAAAGGCTTCCCTACAATTGATTTAAAATGATCCACCGACACTTTTGCTATCTCATCTTGATTTGTGACTTCCTCCCCATCCACTTCTAATTTGGCCACATCATTTTTTCTTCTCCTCCCATTAGCCAACGCATGGAAAAATTTTGTATTCCCTTCTTTGATCCATTTTGTCTTGACTTTTGCCTCCATGAGATCTCTTCTCTAAGGAGAACTTCTTCCAATTCCTTTTTTAACCTACTTCTTAACAACCTTTCTTGTTCATTCATACCTCCCTGGGATTCTTTGGAGTCTAGTTCATCAATCCTAGACATCAAAGAATTCTTTTGATCTTCTACCCTTCTAAAATGCTCCCAATTCCACTCTTTAATCCTTTCTCTTAGTCTCTTTAACTTTTGTGGAACCTTACACCTTTTCACTTAACCCCTCTCAAATCTTCTTTCCACCACTCCCCAACCTTTCGTTCAAAATCCGGATGGGTTAGCCACATGTTCTCAAACCTAAAAGGTCGAGGGCCAAAGCCTAGAACATCTTGACCTAATAGTATAGGGCAGTGATCAGATGTAACTCTTGGAAGGGTTTTAGCCACCAAATTCCTCCAATGATCCTCCAAATCTACATTAAAAAGGAATCTATCAAGTTTGGAACAAAGGGGGTTTTCTTGGAAATTTGACCAAGTTAGCTTGTAGAAAGGGTAATTCCTTTAGCCCACAGGTGTTAATTAATTCATTGAAATTTCTCATACTTGTAGTAACTGATCTTTGGGGGTTATTTGATTCATTACAAAACCTGATTACATAAACACCACGGGCCATCCCACAAGCCTTGAATACCATCCAGCTCCTCCTCCATTTCCTTCCTTTGCCTATAACTATTTGGCCCATAGACATTTGTTTACACCCAAATGAAACCATCTTCCACATTTCTGAATTTTAAAGACACAGAGAATCTCCCTATAAGTTCTTCCATAGATTCTACAACATCCTTTCTCCACAAAGTCACTATCCCTCCCGAGGCTTCCCATGAGGGAGCTAAAGTCCAGCACACTCCTGACCCATCTTCTATCCAAATCTGCCAACTTAGTTTCTTGACCAAAACTGCATTTGCACATTTTTCCATTTAAATATGTTCTATTTGGTTATAATTGTTACTTTTATTCCTTAATCTAGTTATACCCATTATATGTTATATGTAGCTATTTGCACATCTTTCCATTTCAACGTGTTCTATGATTGATACTTTTATTCCTTAATCTAACTATACCCATCATATGCTATATGTAGCTATTTGTGTATTTTCTTGTATATCTTTTTCAGTATTAACCATGTCTATGTATTTCTATTGTTCTACTCCAAGGTTTCATTTACAAAAAATGCATCTTGGGCACAGTTTTTTTTTTTTTTTTTGACAAGTTGGAGAGGTATTATTCACTAAAAAAGGTACTTAAACTACAGTCCATATGGGAAGAAAACTAAAATTTGAACTGATAGATGGGTAAAACTGGGTACATTGGAGAACTATGTACACAATGGGGCCACAGCTTGCAATAATCGGGACCAAAAGGTGGTAGATTTTCAGATAAATCTGTGTATGAATGCCTAAATGTAGAAAGATCGCAAGATATCAAGAAATCAAAATCAAAATTGCTCTCGTAGCACATTTGGATAATCATACCTATCCCTTCAAATGAGGGATGTCTGTGTTGGTAGGGTCAATGCTATCTGCTCCTACACTTTTAGGTTCTCTTCTTCCAATGAGGCATTGAAAGCATTCAGGTCTTGTGGAAATTTATATGGAATTCAAGTATGGCACCCAAGGTAACTATAGTTTCTACTATACCAATGAAAATGTTATAGTTCATAATCTCATACCTAAGAGGAGAGTGATGGGAAACATATGCTCCCTGTGCAAGGCCGATGAAGATTCTGGCCGTTTGTTTCCTTTGTTTAGCTACCTTTTTTCTTAAGCAGCATGTTATGAAGCTGTTTGGCAGAGTTTGCTCCACTCCATGCGACCTCTCAACCTGATAGAGATGTTGCCAGTTTAAGGTCATGTAGGAGTGATTGGATTTCATGGATCTTCTTCCTTCGGCAATGTATTGGTAATATTTAGGAGAGAAACCCAAAGATGCTTGATGATAACGGTTATAAGGTGATCCCGAATATTTTGGAAAGGTCAAGTGACAATTTTGGGTGGGTACCATGTTTTAAAGAGTTAAATAGGATGAAGTTATCTATTACTTGATGGTTCATTTTATTCATAGTTGTTACTACTGTTTGTACCATATATGGGTCTGATTTTGTGATCATTGCATAATTCCATTTAAGGTTCTTTCTATCCTTGTAATATGGTAATACCATTTTTTTTTTGTTTTTTGAGAAAAGGTAAAGTATACTTATATTACCCGACTTAAATATGAATACCATTCCATCTTTCCATCCATATGAAAACCAAATTTATATTTGATTATTTGGCAATTTCTTACCTGACTTAAATATAATAGCTCATAAAGTTGGATGACCCTTCCCCCTGAAGTTGCTTAACCCATTCCATCTGTTGGCAACATAACCTAATCTTATAAAATTCGAGTCCTCTACATTTATTAGAGCACTTAATTGCAAGGATAAGGTTTGGTTGATCATGAGCTAACTTGTCACATGCAAATCTAACTGAAGAGGTGGAAATTTGCTAATTGACTCGGGTGGTTAGGGAAATAGATGAACTTGTCACATACTAGCATGCCATTTGGAAATAGTCTAATTTAAAATATTCATGTTTGTGCAGATACACTTAGGCCCCGAACGTTTTTCAGGAAATGGGAGGGGGAAAGTTAGTCAACGGGAAAGTGATTCCCATTGACCAACTTTACAGTGTTCATTTTTCGATTAGCTCTGGGCCCCACGGTTTAGTTAGTTTCCCTGAGTATCACTTACTTGGGTAAGTGATGCCCATCTCCCAGGCGGCAACTGGTAAATAACTTTCCCGCCTGGGGGGAAGTTTACAAAACATAATGAGATAAGTGACCTTTTTGAAAATCAAACAAGGCCTTTATCCTTTTTCTTTATTGCATAATATAGAGGTATTAATGCTTACTGTTATATGTTTTCTCACACTTGTTTGATATTCAAATTTCAACCATTTTTTATGGTTGATATTTGTTGGAATGGGTATGTGGTGCCAATGGAAATAAGAAGTAAATTACTCAGCCCTATTACATTACATTTTTTGGCATCAAACTAACCTAGCATGAGTGCACAAGTGCTGGAATTAATTCTCTAAATAAAGTATGGTGTTTATTTTTTTATTTGATTTGACGAATGAGACTGCAGTGCATTCTGCATTCTGTTGTTTATTGGATCTTGTGTACGTAGGTTTATCACCCAAACATCAACTCAAATGGGAGCATCTGCCTTGATATCCTCAAGGAGCAGTGGAGTCCAGCTCTGACCATATCCAAGGTGCTTCTATCCATCTGTTCCCTCCTCACTGACCCTAACCCTGATGACCCTCTTGTCCCAGAGATTGCTCACATCTACAAGAACCAGAGAACCCGATACGAAGAGACAGCAAGAGCATGGACCCAGAAATATGCCATGAATTAAGATCCAATTCCATGCATATAGAGATCCAAATAGTTCCGAAGAAGAAGCAGCAGCAGCAGGCAGGTATTAGAGTTCATCAGTTATCCAATTAATTAATTAATGTGAGAGTGCAAAAACTAGAATAACTTGGTGCATGTTAAGCTTGCTTTCTGACGATGAAACAAACTGATACGTCAGAACAGAATTGCTTGATGATAATGTGTTTGGTTTTTGTATAATATATATATTATAACTATTATATATGGATAGATGGGGGGATATCATATGGCATATGGGGATGGGTTTCTCTTCTTACCATACCCCTGCTGTTCTCGGCGGGTTTCAGCTATCATCAACGTATCGGTTGTTTGCTTTGTTCCTTCTTCCCGATGGATAGGGAAATTAAGTTGGTGTATGCATATCTATCTATATGACTATTATCTGTCATCATCGGACTATGGCATGACATGGAATGCAAAACAAACCAATACTTCACAAGATGTTGTGGTCCTTGTGGAGGAGGATCGATGTAACTAACATTAATTAGAAGAAATGATCGTCAGGTAGCATTAATTAAATTTGTTTTAGCTTCAGCATGCTCTGACCTTCCTTTGACCAACCTTTAGTTTGGCCTTCACCTACGTGCCTTGGGCTTATTATTAGGGTCGTTTATTATGGTCTTGGCCCCAGCTTGAGCTTCGCTCATGCTATCACTATTTTAGTGCCGTGGGAGTTGGGACTTGACACCAACTGGACATCGACAACTTGGACAAATTATCAATAATCTTTGACTTGGCCAAATCATCTTGGGATCTGTTTGGCTTGCAGTCAATCAGAAGCGGAAAAGCTCTCAGAATTTGAAATGGAATTGTCTATTTTCCTATTGTTGAATTGGAATGGGAATTGTAATAAACTGGAATGGGATTTTTTTTTCCTAGGGAGGTGGAAGAATGGGATTCTAATTCCACCCAACCAAACAGTTGGCCCATTCTAATTCTAATTTTAGACCCTTATTCATGTGAACCAAAGCCTTTATTTCCTAAAATCGAGGAAAGAAATGGATGCATCGTATGATAGATTGTTGGATTTTTACCTATTCCTTCAAACCAAACACAGCCTTGAGGAAGCAAAGATAGACAAAACACGCTCAACCAAAGTAAGAGTAGAAAACCAAGCCTCATGCATTTTCCACAAAAGAATGAAAACCTCAAGGGGCATTTGAAGAGCGTGTTTTGCCACACCATGAGCCACCATATTTGAGGATCTGGGGCAAGGTTGAAATCTAGGCGGTGTTATGCAGTGTGGATGAGAAATTGGTGGATGGGGGTTGATTCACACCATACCATTGTGGCAAGGACTAATCCATACCACACTACAGTCTACAATTGTTAAAAACTATATGCAGATTGTATGGACTGGTCCAGTCCACACTCAAGGTAAAAAATAAGGGGTGTGATGCATATTATCAATAAAAAATTGTATAATAACCGGGGATTGAATTCAATCATGATAAAAATGCATTAGTTGTTTAGAACCATGTATAGACTGTGTGGTGACTTCCCTTTGCAGCGAAGCACAATGACAGAGGAGATCTTCAAGCGATGGAGAATAACTTCAACTATTAAATGTTGTAGGGTAAAAAATGAGGCATGTGATGCATATTATTGATAAAAAATTGTATAATAATCGGGGACTGCGAATTCAACCATGATAAAAATGTATTAGTGAGATATTGAGTTGTGGATGGGACCGGTCCACGATATATTGTGGACCTGTCCTGTCCACACTAAACTGAACTTTGCGTTCATCCTGTGGCGTGGACCGAAATGGTCCATCCACGAGATGAACATGATTCCAAATACCACCCTAGTCACAATGAAACTCAATGTCATTTTGAGCAATATCCCTGATGATATGTGCATGCATGTGGAGAGAAAATGGTTGCCATGTGCATGCATTGGTTTTGTCGAAATCAAAACCAATTTAGACGGATTGGACTAACCAATAAGACATTGAATTGAACTAGTCCAGACATAATGGTCCGAAGTATTTATTGAATTGGATTGGACCTGGTCCATCCATAATAGATTTATATTGTATTGGTCAGGTTCAACCAATATCCAGTCTATTGATAGTATAAGAACACAAGTGTCAATGGACTAGGTTTGAGTTAGAACCAACCTAATTTAAACCAATTTGAACAGACTAAATGGTCAAGGCATTTAATTAAACTGGTCCAAAATGGACCAGAGTATTCATCAGATTGGATTGAACCTGGTCCATCTGTAATGAATCCATATTTGACCGGATCGGATTTGACCAAATCCCGTCCAGTTGACACTCCTAAGATTCAGAGCTTAGCTTATACCAATGAGGTCATTGACTCATTCCCATCTTCGAACCACATGACTTTGCACGGAAACGCCTTGAGCCCCCAATCCTTCATAATTTTGAACAGAACTTGATGAGGGGTTTGGGATTCCCTAGAGAAGACCAGCTTGTTGCGGGCAACCCATAAGTTACAGACCAGATAGTTGGGGTTGCTAACTAATAATATATCTTAAAATCATATGTACTATATATAATTTACAATTCTATTTTAAGGTAGAAAAATAATTAAATTAGAGTAGGGGGTATAAGTGTCTCTGAACTACATTCGACTTGAGATAATGCAATGAATCACGGATTCAGAAATTCGTTTAATCCATTTTGAATTGCATCTCTAACTAACTGAATGCTAGGTGTCGTTTGGATGGACTTGTGTAAGAGCGTGCTCATAGTGTTGAAATTGTTTAACAACATATTTATAAAGGGAGAAGGGAAATTTAGGATTCAGTCCGTGTCAGGGGTTTTTATTAGGTTTTTGGGTTTTATTTACCAACAACTCCACTTATGATTCACTATCCTCCTGAACTTTGATTCATTTCTCCACCTGTCACTGTTCCACTGTACTAACGTTTATGGGTGGACTGAATAACAAATACCCCAAGGGAAAATTTATGATGCCGGAAAGACATGATATCGGGAAGATTTTGACCAATCACAATTCTCATGAATTTTAATGAAATCTTATACTTTTATGATGTCGGTTGATAAGTTGTAAGCTTTTCCCATATATTGACCACTAGACCTGGCAAATGGGTTGGGTGGGTCAGGTTCGGGTTGGGTCAAGACACTTCTGGTTAATTTCAGGTCGGGTTGAATTTCGGGTTGGGCTATCAAATGCTAGGCCCTAACCCTAAATGTTCGGGTTAGGGTTGACCCATGGGTCAATACAGGTCAGCCCAAAAAATAACTGAAATAAAAAGAAATAAAGAAAAACCACATGAAAAAAGCCAAAATTAAAAGAATTAACCTTAAAATTCCAAATATAAAATAAAAAAGCTTGAGCATTTAACAATTTAAAGAGTAAACAATAAAGAGTAAAGACTAAATAGAAAAAATTAAAGAGTGGAAACTTCTAACCAATGTTTTTGAACCGTTGTTGACCTGGACAGTTGGACCATTCGGCCTAGAAACCGTTTAGACAACCGGTTCGTTTCACCACTAACCCGTTATTGGGTCAAAACCCGTTGACTTTGTCAGAAAACTGCTGATCCGGGCGGTCGAACTATCGACTCATTCGACCCAGCCAGTGGTTCGCAATATAAAGTTGGAGAGAGAACTCAGATGATTCAGATCTAAGATCCAGTATGAGACATGAACTCAGATCTAGGATCTAGCACAAAGAGAAGAAGAAGAAGAAGAAGAAGAAGAAGAAGAAACGAACTCAGATCTTGGAACTTAGATCTCAGATCTGGGATCCAAGAACTCAGATCTCATATCTGTATTTGTTGTTGCTGCCTTGCCGGTGAGAATCCAATCATCCTCATCCTCTTCCTTCTTCCCTCCTCTCCTTCTCTCCTTCTTCCTTTCTTTTTTTCTTTCTCAGACAACAGTTTCATTTCTCCTTTTGCTTTCTGGCTTTCCCAGCCGACATCTCTTATGAGGTTTACATATTAGGGCAAATCTCATATAAACATTAATATGCAAACCGTCCGAACCGTTTGACTTGGACAGTTGAACCGCTGACCCAGAAACCGGTAGCTAGAACGGTTTGATTTCCAAGTCATTTTTAAAACCTTGCTTCTAACAATGCATAAATAGTCTCAATTAGACTTGACAATCGGGTTAGCAAGTTGACCCATGACCCAACCCAACCCAATTTTTCTAGGTTAGGTCGGGTCGAGTCATTTTCACATTCAGGTAGCTACATATGAGACCCTAACCCTGTTTTTTCGGGTCGGGTTGGGTCGAGTTCGCTGATTAGGTCAATTTTTTGCCAAGTCTATTGACCACAAGCACATTGCTGGCTACATTTAGCAGTTGCACATTAGGTTGCATTTGGGAGTGATGTAAATCAAGGTCGGTTTTGTAGGCGTTTGGAATGAGTGTGTAATTATGATCAACGTAAAACTTCACTCCGATTCAGTTTTGCATGCGTTTGGATGGAGTGAAGTTTTACGTTGATAATCAATGTAAAACCTCATCAAGCATAAAGTTTTACATCGATAATCGATGTAAAAACTATATTGATTTTATCGATGTAAAATTTTACACTCCACCCATCACATTTTTCAAAAAGCAACAGTCACTTTCACGGTTCAGTGTAAAACGTTATTAATGTATTTTTACACCGATGGCATTTTACACTAATTCCAAACACAGCCTTATGGAATACCTCTTGTACTTATATCGCCAGTGTTCGCAACGTGCAGCTGGATGAATGAGGCCAGCGGATCCGAACTCCAACAGGATTAGAACGGTAGATGGATTTAGAGGAGAGTTTGAAATTAATTACAATGGTGACGATGAAATAGTAAACATAATCAATCCAATCCATTAGGGCATTAGGTGGTGGGATGCAAAGTTTTCGTTCCGCCGCTGACCCAGACGGTCGGACTGTTCAGCTTAGGACCGTGTTTGGATTAAGGGCCATCTGTTTGAAGCGGATGGTCGAACTATTAACCTGAAAATTGGTGGTTAGAATGGTTCTAGTTTCTGATTGTTTTTTAAAACATTAGTGGGATGTTTACTTGTATTTGGTGTGGGTCATTGTTTTCAAAACTGGTCCGGAAAAACCAGAAATCGGTCAGGTGACTGGTTTCAATTTCCCCAAAATTGGGTTTTTGCCAAAAAGTGTTGATTTGGTGAGCAAACTGCTGAAGTGGGTGGTTGAACCGTTCGAACGGTTCAATGGTTTTGAACGTTTTATATATTTTTTTTAATTTTTATTTTTTTATTAAAACGGGTTATTCATTCAGTTCGAATAGTCGGACCATTCAACCCGGGAACCGGCCCCTGACCAGTTTGTTGTCCGGATCAATTTTAAAAACCTTGGTGTGGGTGTTACTGTTAGAACATTTA